TCGTCAAATGAAAACAAAAAACAAACAAACAGAGAAACAAACCAAATTTTTACATTTATTTCAAGGCTAATACGACTGGACTATCACTCGACAAATTTTGAAAAAGTCTAAGATTAACAACAAAATTAACGTGGCTGAGAACTATAAATCGAACCTCTTCTAACGGCCACCTCTCAACAGCGACCACATATTTTCATCCCAAATATTTTCATCCCAGTTGAGAGATTCAGTTTGCCGCTTCTTCCGAAGCGCCACTTGGGGCATGGAGCGAAGAAGGACGGCTGTTTTCGCAGGCCATGTTTTAATTTCCCAACAATGGCCACCTCCCCACAATTGCCAGAGAAGTTAGACTGCAAATTTAAGACTGTGACCTCCACTGGAAACAAAAAAAAGCTAAAAATATCGCGTGCTTAATACGCCTGACTGACTTCATATTATAATTTAATTGTAGGCATGAAGTTGCTTGCGTAGGCGATTTTGTTTCGGTTTCGTGCAACTGAGTCATTTGAGAGATGGGCGTTCGAGGACTTACCAGTTACATTAACTCAATCGGGAGTCTTTGGACACAAACTGAGCTTCGAAATACAAAGCTTGTCATTGATGGACCCGGCTTATGTAACTGCCTTTACGTGGACAGTGGCTTCGACCGTCAATTTGGAGGCCAATACGAGGAGTTTTACAAAGTCGTTCTGTCGTTTTTCGACGCTCTGGATTCTCGGGGTGTAGATTCCTTTGTAGTGCTCGATGGCGCTCATGATCGAAGCGATAAAAAGTTAGACACTTTCAAGAAAAGATCAGTGCAGAGGATCCAAGCTGGTGACGCGCTGTGCAACGATAGATCAACTGATGGTGATGTCTTCGTTCTGCCGCTTTTGTCAAACCTTGTCTTTGTGCAAGCGCTCAGGGATCGCGGTGTAAAATTTGCTGTTCCTGACTGGTAAGTTTTAACGCAATGTAAAATAAAGTAGATTTTACAGATAATGATAACGTAGGAACAACAAAATAGCGAGCGTCTTTTCTGCGAAGTCATTATCCTCTCTGCGAAGCTTGCGTCCTGTCTGGTCTTTCTGCGAAGCAAGGCGTCTTTTCTGTGAAGTGTGTGTCCTTTCTGCGAAGTGCGCTTCTTTCCTGCGTCCAATACAGGAAGGATGTTCAAATGTGGGCTATACAATGCTGAGCTTTGCGGTGTAAATGAATGAATGGTAATTAAGTTTGTAATTCCGTTTGTTATCGCAGGCGGTTTCCTGTTTCAGTTTCGCTTTTGCACACAGTCCCTATCACGCAACAAGGAAACACTGCACAACGAACCCAAACAATAGTGTGAAAAGATTGTGTAAATGAGGTTGATGAAAGTAAACAGGAGTATTTTGTGTACGATCTTATACCTATTTCTACAGGAACGATCGCTGACTTGTAAAGAGTGAAACTGGCTTACTTCAATTTCCGCTTCTCCTTGAGCTTGTTTATGTCAATGAGTAGTAAGTGAATCGGGACTGCAAGAGAGCCTTTCCCTGTTTCAGTAAGGAGAGCTGCACTTGTAATATTCTCGGCTTAAACCGGTCACATTGGGCCAGGGATTATACAAAACATCAGTTACTAGTAAGTTTAACATACAGTTAGTGCTAACTGCACTCCCAACACCACAACCCGGAAATCAAACTGATGTATAACGCCAGAAGTCTAAAAAGTTTCAAATTTGTCATTTCGTACATATGCGCACGCAATGTAAGGCATACTTTTTGTTACTTCATACTCCTTCCAGATTATGAAGGACGAATTAGCTACTGTAATTTTCATGTTTCTTTTCAGTGAAGCGGATTCTGAAGTCGCCTCCTTGGCCAACGCTTATAACTGCCCTGTATTAAGCAATGACAGCGATTTCTTTATCTTTGATATCGAAGCAGGCTACATCCCACTTTCCTCTTTCGACTGGAAGTCTAGTCGCCTAACAGCCAAAATTTTCCATCGGAGAAAATTGGCGTCACACTTAAGAATTCACGCAGAATTGCTGCCTATGTTCGCTTCTTTAGTGGGCAATGATTACGTCAGCATTGATGCGTTGGAACCGTTCATCCATGCCCTTAGTCGCAGTCAGTATTCCATGGATCATTCTAGCAGGAAAGAAGCCAGATTTGCTGGGATCGCAAATATGCTTTCCACCGTACCTGACAAATTTGTTCTCCAAATGGTGTCGTCTTATGGCGGGATTCAACTAAGGCAAGCTGTTGAGCATTCTCTACAAGAGTACTCGATCACAGACTCGAATTTGTTGCGCTATTTCCAAAAACGCGTGATCAGCAGTTCTCTCAGAACCCAAAACGGCCGAGAAATCGACGAGTGGCTTTTGCGCAAGTTCCGCGAAGGACAGTTTTCTACTAATTGTATGAGCGGCTTAACATCGGGAAAGGTCTTGCTCAGATTCCAGGTTGAAAACTGTCGGGAAAAGTCGGCGAATTACTGCTCCCAGAAGCTGAGGCGGTTTGTTTATGGGATTTTAAACGATGATGAAGTTTACAACCGGAGAGGAAATGTTGCGATGGTTGAAGAATGGGACAGAGAGGGTTTGAAGGTGAAGCCGTCAAATGTTACTCCCTACCAAGAGGGTGCGGTCCGAGTGAGTCTTATCCCATGCCTCGATGCTGAAAACAGACTAACGGTTTTGCTAAATGCGCTTAATTCAAATACACCTTCCATGAGATTGTTGCCGGAGAAGTTTAAATTAATTGCAGCGTCACTTCGTTTTCTCAAGAGCAACGCACAGCCACCTTTGAAGACGAATCACCTTACCGCCATACTCTGCAGTTGTATTAAACTACAGGACGGCTCGTGGAAACAATACATCTCCCTATCTCAGTCGTTTGATCGGCAAGCAACACAAAGTTTTGCTCAGTGGCAGTGTGTTTTGAGAGATGCTGTTCATCTGAACTTTGTTTTGATTGAGCCTGTTGAAACACCATGTATTCACAAAACGTTTAATGGACGACTGGCGCACTGTCTGCTGAGCGAACTTGATCGAGGTCAGTCTCCTTCCTGATAAATGCTTGCTTGTTTCTTTTTATTTCAAGGGGGAGGGAGGAGGGGAGGGGGATCGCGTAGGGTTTATGCCAATGTTTGTTTCGTTCCGATATTTTTTGCTGGTATAGTGAGAGAGTCCATGCACTGTTAACGCTGCACTTTGCCACAATGTTTCCAGGAACTTGTTCTGTTTTCTTTTGTTCTCTAAATGTCAAGAATTTATCTCCTTAGCCATTGCCGTACCTAGAACATTTGAAAGGAGCAATGTCAACTAGTAGTTTTGTCAACCTCGTGCCCAGGGAGCTTTGAAGGGATAAGCCTTGGTCACGAGTTGGCTTCAAATCGAGGGCGACCATAAACTAAGAGACTAACACATAGGTGAAAGAACCTTAGGTAATGATAAACTGAAACAAGATCTAGGTTTGTTGTGATTGATCGATTTCAAATTTAAAATTGAAACAATAAGACAAAATTTTTTGATATGTGCTATCCATTGTTGTTAGGTCCCGCGAGGTTTTTCAAATTAACATAAATATTTCCTCTCTCATTCAGGTCGCATGCCAGAAGAGTTGCTTCCGTCTTACAACAATCGCTTTCTTTACAACGAAATTTGCAATGCGTTGGAGATAGAAGGTAGAATAAGAACGTTCTCAATTACAATTTACTTTTCGTTTTATAACTACTCTCATTGTTAATTTAACGTTGTTTAAAAAAATCGTTTTGAAGCGTTAACGATGTACAAACGTAACTTCATTATCATGTATTTTACAATTATCTAAAGAATACCTGCTTGAAAAGGAGACTGAAAAGCAATCAGTGTTTTAGCATGAGTTCACTGTCCGTGAAGAATGTCGGACGAGTGAAAACAATATGAATGGGATTGGGGCGAGAGGATGAACGGTGAACCCGAAGAGAACTCAGTCTACTTAAAAAACTGATTAACATTAATCGAAAACGTGAGACAACACAGCGTAAGAAATCAGTTTAAAGTTGATAAGGTACAAAACTAAGCTGTTGGATTGGCTTAATCTGACTTTGAGTAGCCACGAGTCCAAATTAGTAATCCATCTTTTGTTTTATTTTATCTTCCTTCCTGGTGATTATAGGCAAGATTAGCGTTGGCCTGAACACAAAATATCCTGGTGTCACACATCAGAAGTCGTACCAAACATGGGACAGTTGCCGTCCCCCGGCCCAATCTTACGCTCCCCTGGACATCAGGAGTGCTGTTTACAGGTACAAATATGTTCTTTTTATCTACCCCTTTCCCATCCCATTCCCCCCCCGTTTTCTTTTCTTTCTTTGTTTTTCGTCCCCTTGACGATTATAAAGAATATTGAATGCCTGTAAACAGACTATTTTTCCACAGACTACACGGAAAAATGTTTTATGATTTTATTAAATCTGATTACTTTATTAACAAGTTCCTAGACAAGTTCCCCTCTTCAGTACATACAAAACGAGACGAACGAAGTACAACACACCAAGTGGACAAAGTCTTGATGTACTACCAAATTCTCAGAACTTCCTGTAAAGGAATTGCGTCGCAAGCAGTTTAGAGAATTAATGTTGCAATAGCTCTTGCATGGCTGGTAAAAGACGCTAAATAGTGTCGAGTTCAAGTTGTAACTTCATTTAGGTGACAGCTCCATTTAATTTATTTTCAGTCCAGCAAAACGATGGGAAGCACATGGTAATACACGACAGACAAACCAGGTGTCTACGACGCAACAGCAGCAGCAACAACAACAGCAGCAGCAGCAGCAGCAGCAGCAGCAGTGGCTGTCTTCATCACAATATGTACGTAGTCAAATATTTTTCCATGGTCAATCAATCAAGTCTATTAATTTTACGCATCGCTGTTATGATGTAAGGAAACTGGTGTCTTTGACTTCGTAGAAAAAAGAAAACGATTTTTGAAAGCTCCCGCAGCTTCTCGACTAACCTCCGTGCCTCCAATAGTCGCTCTCCCTAAGCTTCCGGAATAAATTTGACTCAAGGCGCTATATCGAAACATCACGGTAAGACGTTTGCGACGTCGCCATTTCAACCGCAACTTTTACGAGCTTTAATTATTTCTCTTTCTTCCACAAACAGAATGCGTCCCATAAGCGACATGACCGACCTATGTATTACTCTCCAGTTCCTCAAGGTGGAGCAAGTTGGAGCTTGCCCTTGTCCTCTAGTAAAGGGTATTACCAGGAACAACAGTATGCCCAACCCAGCGTCTATTCAAGTGGTCATCACGCTGGTAAACCTCATCCAGTGACACCTACATCCAGTAGAGTAGCACAGCGCGCTTACACACAACAAAAAAGAGAAGCAGAAATCTCTGCCGGGATTCAAAACTTAAATCTACGTGCAAACCCGAGCCACAGCAGCAAGAATTACGCAGCAGGTGAGAACAGGCACTCGCCATCTGCGCTACGACCGAGGGAGGTATCGCCACTGGGATGGGTGTCGCCTGGCTCCAAAAGTACGTCGGCAGCTTCTTACAATCCAGTTGATTATAGGAATGAAGGCAAAACACCACCGAATGCCAGACCCCCTCGCGCCAAGTCTACAGCACCGTACCCATCAGCTACCCACTCGGCGGAGGGATGAGCCAGTATCTTTATCTCCAGTACGCAGTGGTTATGGTCAGCGGTTTTTCTATGATTCGTCTTCACTGGACGATTTACCACTCCCTTCTGATGAAAGTTGGTCAGTAAGTGATTCATCAAAGTCTTCCGATGAAAGCTGGTTATCCGACTATTACAATGATGACGCTGAGCCCTATTTTGAAGATTTTTGGTGATTTTTCCCTTGCAAGTCAATAGCGAAAACTGCCGAAGAGTTTGGATTAATAGGCAACAGTGACTATGTTCCGGCTGTCAGTATTATTTATATTAAGATAACTCAAAACAGTTTCCAGCATTTAGATTTTGATTTAGTCATGGTAGTTGATTTTGCAGTATTTCAGTTTGTAATTTATCCTCACTACATTTCTATTGTTGGGATCACGTTAGACTAAGTTATGGGAGGAATCCGAGACCGCCTAAGCAAAAGATATGCAGCAAGGCCAGGTGAGCGGTGGTCACTTCCACCAGGTCCACCAGGGGAGGATGGAGGGGCGCAAAGTGTCTTCCCACGGCAATCTCGTCAAACTGCAAGATTTCGCACTGCCCAGCCAGATTTTATGTTCGAAAGGCCGCAAAGGATCATACTAGACGCCACTAACCTAGACCCTCGGGATTAGCGGAATGTAACCCGTTATCGTGAATCGGTCATTATATATGCAGTGAGAATAGTTGAAAGAGTTTACGATTCTAAATTCATATTATCTCACCCTTTAAATTGCTTTACACCTTTTTGTGGTGTTACTAGTTACGTCGAAGTAAAGCTTCTCAGAAAGTGTTAACTTCACTGTTTTCCTGCTGTTTTTAACGGGCCACAGTAAGAAATATTACTGAAATTTGTGAGTTTAAATAACCATTTACCTTAATTACCAGACGTTTGCCGGTGATCAACAAAAATTGAAAGCTGGGCTTCGCCTTCTTGGTGAGCCGTCAGTGCTATGAAAAGAATCTGGGAGATTTGCGTCCTCAGTTAAACGTCATCGCTTCTGCATGCATTGCGTGCCGTTTATTAAACGTTGCCAAAAGTTGCGTCTTATCCTGCTGATTGAAATTTGGTAATATAATAAAATTTCACCGTGCCGTTTTTGAATTATAAGCCCCTAAAGCTGTAATTAAGGCTGCTTTTAGCAGGTCATACTGTTGCTATGGTAACCTATTGTATCACGAAAATAATAACAACGTGTTCACCAATGATTGGGCAGCTTTTTGATATCATGATTGTAGCATCAAGTGATAAAGCGTGGTTATAACGACCCCTCAAAATCTAAGTGCTGGAAACTGTAACGGCAGGAATCGAAATGTAGTTTTATATTACAGCCAAGAATGTGAGTACAATCTCCAAATCCAGATAGAAATATGAAAATTCATGGCAAATTCGGCCTCATGGTACATATTCTCCATAAACTGAAATCCAAAACTTGATCATTTTCTTTACTGGTAGAGGAGGGTAAATGAATATACAATACGTATAATGCAAGCCATTCTATGATTTTTTCTAGCTGTGTTGTCATTACGGTGCCCAGAATATCGTTTTGTAAACAAGCCATCAAGATTAAAGAGGCTCAAGCAAAAAGGTTTAAATTTCAGTAATAATGGATTATGTAAAGCTTTGAAAAACACAAAATATTGATGTACAAATAGGGCAAAAATATTTCTGCGGTGAAGACGCCTCGCCGATCTAAATGGTGCACGCTTCGTGATGGTTACAAAACAAGTTCTTTGAAGTTTAAGAGTATATGTCAATAAGGATCAAATAAATCGCGGACACAGCTCAAAATTCAATTCCGCCCATACTTTGTCCATTGGTAGTGAAAAAGACATTAAAAAGGAAAGTTAAAGAAAGAAAAAATTATAAAAATTAAAAGAGACCTAATATTTTAAATTACAGAAGATTAATCTGTATACATAGTCTTTCGTAATAAGTTGTAGCTTTTATATCAAATTGTTAATGCCTGATGTATTTACCGTGTTTTTATATAAAGATGATGATGATGATGATGATGATGATGACCCCGACCCCGGCCCTGTTCCGGCCCCGACCCCGACCCCGATTCCTCATTTTACTGACACCCTTTGTTTCACACACTAAAATAATTTGTTGTTTGGTCAGTATTTGTCATAGAAAACAGTTCTCGTGGATTGTATATTCTGAAAAGTAAAACCAATATAACTGAACTGCCCAGAATGGAGATTTGCAACCGAAACCGAAGATATCAACAAAACGCAACTTCATGCTTCAGTAGCCACCAAATATCGGCATCTCATAAAACCCGAAACAACGAAACGAAACCACCGAAACCACCGAAACGAGCGAAACGAAACCACCGTAACGAAACCACCGAAACAAGCGAAACGACCGAAACAAGTAAAATAGTAAGTAAATAAATAAAAATGTTTTAAAAAAACAGCCTTGATCTCTGGAAAGTTACTATGGCAGCCTGATCTCGTACCCAGATCCTGCTCTTTAGCCACACGCGTGACATCATGACATTTTGAAAGATGGATGAGCACAAGGGTGTCTACGATTTGCTTCTTTGTAAATTTGCCCTGATTACCCATAATGTCCATTAGAGCGTGAAGGGGTCTATTCTTAACGCTCAAATAATGAAATGTGTTTTTTTTGTTTGTTTTTGTTGCTGTCGTTTTCTCTTCAGCATTTGTCGCTGATATACTGATTGCAACTGAGATAACGGTTAATTATGAGTTGTTCCCAAGAAAATTTATTAAAAGATCGTTGAGTTTGATTGTCAATTGAAGCTTTTTTCATTCCTCACTCCCATGAACTAACCTCTGCTGAGTGAACCCTAAAAAGCTGATTCCCCCTCCTCCCCTACCATACAGTTTACACGCAATCTAAGGGGAAAAGTAGCGATACCGACTGAGACGTTATCAATGAATACTTCTTATCCTAACTTTTCTATTACTTTCCTTTCTTTTCTTTTCCCATCTACTTTGGTCGGCGTTCCACCCTTAAAATACATACAAAAATACAACAACATTTTCTTTCAGTCTTTACAAGACAGCTGTACTGCTCGAAGTACTAAATGTAATATAATTCTGTCTTTCGCTGGCCCGTGGTTTTGTTTTGGTCGTTTCGTATCGTATTTGTCGTATCTGTCTTTCGTTTTGGTTGTTTCGTTTGTTTCGGTGGTTTCGTTTCGCTCGTTTCGCTTGTTTCGGTGGTTTCGTTTCGTTGTTTCGGGTTTTAGTACATGCCCCAAATATCTTGTGTAAACAAATTGACAGTTGTCATGAAAACAAGCAAAAATCTGCTTGAGTCGACCTCCAATTTAATTCATTGTCTAGATAAAAGGCAGAAACCAAGTCTCAACTTAATTTAGCTTATCATATTTTAATTTTTAATGTACTTTTTGGCATGCGATCAATTGTTTCTTGATGGTCATCTTAGTTGTAACTTTAATATGGCGGCAGCAGCAAATCTCGAAAATAAGCAAATTTCAAACAAAAGTGCGTTTACCGTAAAACTAAAAGGTATCCCAAAATATTTCAAGTATTTCTGTGAACGTCTATCCTTATACTTTATCTGCAATATAGTTATTGGGTTTTTCTTCGCGAACCGACAAGCGTTTTCGGCCGTTGTTTAAGGTCATTCCTCACATTTGCATTGCGCATCCTTACTGCGCATAATTTATGGCGTCATTAGCGCGCACATTGAAAACATGACGGGTTTGCCTGGATATTGAGCTCTGTCAGTTGAAAAATGGCTCTAGCTCACCAACGAGCAAGGGCACCTCAATTTTTTTTCCAGTCATTGTAATCAACTAATCATAAGCTTTGCGTGAGAAAAGACTTATTTAATTTCTATTGCTGAAAATTGAATAAATAAGAAAAATAGCAGATACAATGTGGTCTTTTCTATTTTGCAGTCGGTAACCACGTCAAGAAATTTGGTTCAAATTTTTAATCAAGGATTTAGCTTTCCGTCTGAATCAAA